TCTCTCTCTCTCTCTCTCTCTCTCTCTCTCTCTCTCTCTCTCTCTCTCTCTCTCTCTCTCTCTCTCTCTCTGTGCCATAGGCTCCATTTCTCTTCATGGCTCTACTCTGCCACTTAGATGAGGCAGCACCTTCTTCGACTAGTCTCCTCGGCTAGAAAGGGCCCAACAGTGGAAGTGCAGAAATCCGACAGGTATGCTCTCGAGTGTACGCACGTATGTCTACGCAAGGAGTGAGTTTCAACTTCTGTTTCTTTTTCGGAATGAAACTCTGTCGGTCGCTACAGTACAAAGTTGAAATCTCTCTCTTTTCTACGGTATTGGATCTTTTCTCTGATGCACATCCTTGTGTTTCCGTTTCCGTTTGTCCATCCGTTTGTCCATCCGTTTGTCCTTCCGTTTGCCCTTCCGTTCAGAAAGAGCGAGGACTTATATATCATGACGTAGGTATGCACAGTGGGAAATCTCTTTCTTTCCCGTTTAGGAAGGGAAAGGAAAGCCCAGTAAGGACAGACGCGGCAGGTACTTATGGACATATATATTTATAGAGTAAACTAGTACAGACAAAGCCAGAGTTTCAGGGCACACTCACACTATGTAGCACTTTTCTAGATGCATCTGGCTGCAATCACGGCTGACTCTGGACAAACCACACCGCAATTTTGTCGAGAGCTGAATCCAAAACAGTCTTAGTGATTTCGAAAGAAGGGAAAAGGAAAAAAAAAAGTCCTGGTGTGAGCATACCCTCAATCTCTCTTGTCTCTCTTGTCCGTTTAGGAAAAGCATTCACGAGCGCAATAGTATGAAAATTTGTGGTTAAAAAAAAAAGAAAAAGCGCGTACGTAGAGACGGATATGTTGGACTATTTCTCATCTTCAATACTTGACAAAAATCTAGCGACTGTGAAGAAAAAAAAAAATAGAGAAAAAAAGGTAGAGTGTCTGTTTTTCCTGAGCTTAGGAATTCCTTTTTCTTCTCTTGCTTTTATTGTTTTCCCACTTCCATTCCTCTCTCTCTCTCTCTCTCTCTCTCTCTCTCTCTCAGACACACGCACATAAATACATACATACATACATACACACGGATAGAGAGAGCGAGAGAGTGAAGAGTTCCCCAAAAACCCCACCTTCAAAAACATCCTCCCTTCCCTGCCTCCCGAGCCAACCCGTCCTCCCTATGCGAGGTCATGGTTTTCAACGTAGGAGAGCATCAAGCTGGCCATGTCACTCTTCGAGCTTGATGTTTTTCTATTCTTCTTATTTTTCCTCTCGAACGTCGTTTTGTCGTCTTTTTCTTCTATTTGTTTCCTCCCTGGATTCCGTCTCACTAAGACTGAACCTCTCCCATTCATTTAACAAAGTGAGAAATCGATGTATTTTGACAGGACGACTCGTTCCGTATGTAAATTATTTCGTGTTTCTCGTATAGTTCTCCGTGAATTAACATCCAGAGGTGCTTTATATGGCATAAATAAGTCTAGTTGGTAGTTGTTCTTATATGCATCTGTTCTCTCTCTCTCTCTCTCTCTCTCTCTCTCTCTCTCTCTCTCTCTCTCTCTCTCTCTCACACACACACACACACACACACACACACACACACACATGT